ATGTTCAAGCAGAAATGGTAGCATAATGATCATTTAAATGCTATTTGTCCTAAATGCATTTAAACTAACAGTTAGAACACTTAGGATTGCATTTTCATCATGACGCCGTGGGATATTTTTACCAAAATTCAGTGCGGCTTTGAAAATGCATTCCGAGCTGACCATGCCCACCCTCTGTCAATCTTTGCTTCAAGGCGGGGATTGGCGGAATCGTGTTACGTTTGGATCGTTCGAAACATGGTGGCTCGAGATCTGATAAGATCGTTGCAATTTACATATTAAGACCACTGTTGGAAATGGCAAATGTAAACTATATAATTTAATTTTCATTTTCTTTTTGCAACAAACTTTGCACGTATGGGTAATGGAAAATGTAAATTTAAATACAGAAATACATTGCCATTTTGCATATTGCATTTTAAATTGAATTTCGCTACCTATATGCTTCCATAGATAGATGTCCCTCTAGAAATGTGATAAATATGCATTCTGTGTGAACGGCTTGGTTTCAGTTTTGATGTAAACAACATCTTCTCTGCATTGATGTTCAATGTTGTACATTCAAATGCAATCAATGACACATACATCTCGTGCGCCACTGATACGGCTGACGCAGACCTTCAATTCGAATGCAACGCTTTTGTATTCGAATGTGGATTTTACATTTTTTTCAAATTCGACGAATATTCGAAATTCGAAATAGTTTTTTTGACAGCCCTAGTGGCTTGACAGCGTTTATGAGATGCTGTACACAGAGACTCAAGAAGGCACGTGAAATAATGGGTTGTTGAGTGCACAAAAACACAGGCTTTCCCTAACATCCACTTCTTTGTCTTAAAGAACTTAAAGGAACAGCCAATAATGACATCTCGTGTAATAATGAAAACAACAGTGCACTAAAATAATCAACACGAACAGATGAAAATGTGTAAATAAACGTACAAACCACTTCATATTAATTGTCTGTAACTACTAACCTTTAAATTAATCATTTAATACGATCATGCCTGTCACATTGAACATGCCTTCATGTAATTACAAATTTCAGTAATTATGATTTGAGCCTGTGGGTAAGTTGAGCCACCCCTCGTGTCTCGACAGCCTTAAACGAAATCGGTGACGTGAACACAAATATATGAGGAGTTTTCCATTTTACTCACTCAGTGATGGAGAGAGGCCTGTGGGATCATTTGTGACTACATTTAGGTTCAAACAACAGTTTTCTGCTGTTCAGAGTGATTTTTATGTGTTTTTTGTATTCGAATGTGGATTTTATATTTTGTTTAAATTCGACGAATATTCGAAATTCGAAATAGTTTTTTTGACAGCCCTAGTGGCTTATCAGCGTTTATGAGATGCTGTACACAGAGACTCAAGAAGGCACGTGAAATAATGGGTTGTTGAGTGCACAAAAACACAGGCTTTCCCTAACATCCACTTCTTTGTCTTAAAGAACTTAAAGGAACAGCCAATAATGACATCTCGTGTAATAATGAAAACAACAGTGCACTAAAATAATCAACACGAACAGATGAAAATGTGTAAATAAACGTACAAACCACTTCATATTAATTGTCTGTAACTACTAACCTTTAAATTAATCATTTAATACGATCATGCCTGTCACATTGAACATGCCTTCATGTAATTACAAATTTCAGTAATTATGATTTGAGCCTGTGGGTAAGTTGAGCCACCCCTCGTGTCTCGACAGCCTTAAACGAAATCGGTGACGTGAACACAAATATATGAGGAGTTTTCCATTTTACTCACTCAGTGATGGAGAGAGGCCTGTGGGATCATTTGTGACTACATTTAGGTTCAAACAACAGTTTTCTGCTGTTCAGAGTGATTTTTATGTGTTCACGGACGCATGCTTCTTGATTCTGAACAATTACAGACAAATCTGAGAAAATATCACACGTGTACTGTTCTGTAAGGTCAACTGCAGGCCGTTTTTTCTTTTTTAATTCTCCAATTTCAAAATGTTTAACATGCCTTCAGACTTGTGTACTGTATCTTTAAGTTAAACTTTTAAGAACTCATCTAACCACCCATCCGCTCACACACAGATCCACACAAGTCATTTTTATTGAATTGCTCTTCTTTTGATACAGCATGAGGGGAAAATGTTCAGTTTTCTCAAACGTAAGTACATGGTAGTAAACCACACCTAATATAAAGCAGAAACTAAACTTCTATAGAAGATGACAGCTCAGAACTCAAGTTAGTTTGGCTCTCTTTATGACTATCAAACACTGACAACTCGTTCAAGCAACTGTTCACATGAAAAGCTCAAGTTTGCGCTAGAATGTATTTATTTTGGCATAAAACCTGCTGCAGCACGATAGGGTTTGGGACTCCAACCAGAACAACAACAAGCCAGCAAGAAGAACAGGCCATCATTACAAAGCCTTTAATAAACTAACTGTTACAGGTTTGCTAATCAGTCGAGCTTATAAAGCCCAAACGAGCTCGCTTCCCAAGCAGTGTTGCCAACTTAGCACTTTTGTAGCTAGACTTAACGACTTCCCCACCCTTTTTGAGACTTTTTTTTAAACGTTTAAGGACAAATATAGCAACTTCTCGCACAAACCTTATCTAAGTTCTCATCTTGCCCACTGATCTACATTCATCTTTATATAGACCAGTGTATTTGACATTATGATGTCATCTAGTGACATTTAGCTACCAGCTTTAGCTGCTCTCAATTGGAAGCAGTTGATAACGCCGTCCAGGACATTTCACGAAGTTTGGGACTCACACAGCGCGTCACGAGACTGAACCGATCTATTCTGGCCTCACGGGACTTCCTCACGCGGACGCTCCCCGCACACCGGCCGCTAGCGCGGGACTCGGCCGAGGAGCGACCGCCCGAACCCGGACCGAGCAACAGCCGACGGGAAACGCGCCGCCCTCTCATCGGAGCACCGAAGCGGGCTCACCTGCTGGCTTGGGGCCGCGTAGCGCTCTCAGAGATCAGCTGCGACGGGTTCTCTTCTTCGCCGGGTTTATCCTGCTGCTCCCGAGCCTCTTCAGTTCAGCGACGCGGGTGACGTCATGACGCAGGCGCGCTCAGCCCCGCCCCGCCGACGGGAGCCCTGAAGAGAAACACCTACAACCATCTCTCTCCTTTATATAATTGGTGTTACTTTGTGGAAATTGTATTGTTTTTTAAGACCGTTTTAGGTTGTTTGTATTAATCTGTGTGTGTGTGTGTGTGTGTGTGTGTGTGTGTGTGTGTGTGTGTGTGTGTGTGTGAGAGAGAGGGCACACACACACACTCAAACATGTGTGAGAGAGAGAGAGTGTGAACTACACGTACGCTGAATAAAGGCTGTTACGAGCAATCTTAAACACACTCACTCACACACACTCACTCACTCACACAAACACACACACACACACACACACACACTCACTCACTCACTCAAACACACACACTCTCACACCAACACACACTCACACACACACACGCACTCACACACACACACACTCACACACACTCACTCACTCACTCAAACACACACACTCTCACACCAACACACACTCACACACACACACGCACTCACACACACACACACTCACACACACTCACTCACTCACTCAAACACACACACTCTCACACCAACACACACTCACACACACACACGCACTCACACACACACACACTCACACACACTCACTCACTCACTCAAACACACACACTCTCACACCAACACACACTCACACACACACACGCACTCACACACACACACACTCACACACACTCACTCACTCACTCAAACACACACACTCTCACACCAACACACACTCACACACACACACGCACTCACACACACACACACTCACACACACTCACTCACTCACTCAAACACACACACTCTCACACCAACACACACTCACACACACACACGCACTCACACACACACACACTCACACACACTCACTCACTCACTCAAACACACACACTCTCACACCAACACACACTCACACACACACACGCACTCACACACACACACACTCACACACACTCACTCACTCACTCAAACACACACACTCTCACACCAACACACACTCACACACACACACGCACTCACACACACACACACTCACACACACTCACTCACTCACTCAAACACACACACTCTCACACCAACACACACTCACACACACACACGCACTCACACACACACACACTCACACACACTCACTCACTCACTCAAACACACACACTCTCACACCAACACACACTCACACACACACACGCACTCACACACACACACACTCACACACACTCACTCACTCACTCAAACACACACACTCTCACACCAACACACACTCACACACACACACGCACTCACACACACACACACTCACACACACTCACTCACTCACTCAAACACACACACACACACTCACTCACACACACACACACACACATACACAGATTTAATTGATTTCTTTCCCCAAATGCATTGACAGCAATGTTTCAGGAGTTTAGGACACATGCTTATTCAATAACTTTATTTTATAGCTTTATTTTTCAGATTAACTGTTTTTCCAAGGCATGGTTAGATGTCAGTGTTTCCTGTCATAGCTATGCAAAGATTTGATTTCAAAAACAGTATCATAGCTATTAAACTATATCTTTTTATGATTTTAAATCTGTATTTAACCTCAGAACGATCTCAAAGTACAAAGACCTGCTAAAGTCTGATTTTGTGGTGGCTGTGCTTTAAAACTTAATTATAATCTTAATTCAAGAATGAAGGACTTTGAAAGTCTGACAGTAATCAGCGTGTTGGAAAAATACTTGATTAAATGGGGAAAAGTTGCAAGGAGACTCATTCTAGTATCATTTGTTGCTAATATTTTGAAATAGATTTTATTTTTATAGTTTCTTTTTTCACTTTAATTTTAGTTAAAGTGTTAATAACGTTGTCGTGTTTTTGTCATTTTTATTCTTTTTTTAATGTCCATATAGTTTTGGGGTATAAGTTTTAGTGCTAGTTTATTTAGTTTTAGCTATTATTTCAATTTCAACTAAATGAATGTTGCACTTTTTCTTTCCAACTAGCAGAAATATTTTATTTCAGTTAGTTTTATTTCAAATAATGATATTTTTAATGGTTTTAGTGAGCGATAATAACCCTGCTCTCTAGAGTGGAAAGGTGTAATTACATATTATAGTAATAACTAACCTTTTTTTTTAAGTGCTTTATATTTATAACTAAAAATCGCACTCAAAAACTCATCACTGATACATTATATTGATTATTATTTGCCATTATGCCCCCAAATAGCAAGCTAAAGGCAACAATATTTCAGGTATTACAGAATGGCACAAAATAATTACTGAATATTCAACTTTAATAATATCAAAATAGAAAGCAGTTATTTTAAGACGTAATAATATTCTGCTATTTTACTGTACTGTATTTTGCAGCTTTGGTGAGCATAGAGAGTTCTTTCAAAAGCAACAAAAATCTAAATTATTCCAAACTTTTAATGCTAATGTAGTTCTGAAATCTATAATAAAAGCTAAAGCCCTCTGAAATGCCTTTCTCCACAGACTTCTATTGTAAATGATTGTAAACATGTTTTTCCTGCATTTATGATGATGATGAATAAAAAAAATAAAGTAGAAGAAGCAGAAGGTGCAAAAATTACACTAATTAAATTCTTACCATAAAAAAAAAATTGTATAAAGTGCAACAATTTCATTTTAAGTTCAAGTTAAAACTTTTAATTCAGTGAGAATTCTTAAGAAATTTATTCTGAAAGATATTCACAATAAAATCCACAGATGGAGGGCATGCAAATGAGATGAAGCGGTAACGACTGTAATTACAGAAAACAGAATGATAATAATAATAAAAAAACATTCCCTACACAGAGATCAAGTATCCACAGTCAGTTAATAATCAGGTACAAACCAAATGAAACCTTTTTGTGTTTTTAAAAATCACACGATAGCTGTAAAAAGATACAAAGCAAAAAGTAAAACTACATACAAAAGGACTGTGATTAGAGAGAAAAACACATTGCTCGTTGTCCACAGGTGCGCAGTAAAAACACACAACTTCCATTATTTCTTGCTTCGGGCCTGACTTCTCGGAGAGCCTTTTAGTAAATCTCGAATCTTGAGGTAAACCCCCGTTGCTTCAGCCACCTCCGTAAACTCAGGCGTGTCCTCGAAAGGAATAATACCCGCAGCGAACCTGCTCCGGTGTGGGACGAAAGCTACTTTATTTATGGCAGGCTCCTCCATGTTTATCTGAGGAGTGTCTGAAGCTCCATTTGTTGCATCATGATGACGGCTTTCCTCGTAAATTTCATCCAGGACAATGTCGTCACTCATCCCTGCTTGCAAATCGATGGCGGTTTCAACTATCCTCTCCTCCTCACAAACATTAGGTGAAGATGGCGTGCTCTTGATTTCATACGCATGACTCGAGTCCTCCGTCTTTTCTCCGTCTTCCTCCGAGTCGAGTTTAAGTGAAGTGACCACACTAGGGGAACTCGGGACGGGGGTCTCTGAATCACTGTTGGTCGTGGTATCTGCCTTCTCAAGGGCTGCCCAGAGAAGCCTCTGCTGCTCCTCCAGTTCCTCCAGAGTCAGCCCGTCCTCAGACTCCTCCCCCTCAGTCAACCCTCTCGCCTGATTGGCCGGGGAATCGTTAGTAGGTGGAGTCGGCGGTGGAGTTCCCTTAGGGACGGGCGGTGTGGACGGAGGCGTTCCCGGCGGGAGAGGTGGAGCAGCGGATGAGGACGCAGAGCTAGGAGGGAGCGGAGGGTGGAACTGGAAACCATCGGATCTAACCGGACACATGTCGTGTTCTGTAGAAGGATAGAAACTAAATCATAATAAACAGGTTTTTTTTTTCAGTGATGCATTCAAATTTGAGCACGGTCCTGGTGTGGGCTCCCGGTCTCCCGAACGCTCTTTAACATCTTACGACCAATGCGCACAAAAATACGTCAGATATCCTCATTAACACAGCTGTTTTTTGTCAACAGGTGAGAAAGGAAACGCATGTGTAACAGCACTTTTAGATCCGCGTGCGTTCGCTGTTAAAGATACCGCAGCCTAATAAACATCTGCTGCCTGTCATTAAAGAACAAAAGAAAACTAGATGAGTAAAGTTCGTAGACAAACTTTGAAGTTGGCTTGAGAAAGCCTTGTCTGAAAGCTTGAAATAGCTTTGAAAAGCTTAAAGTTTAATTTTAATTGTTGAAACTGAAGTTTGGGACAGAGTGGGAACACACACGATTTTACATGAATTAGCATGTTGATAGCATGATTTAGCATGTCTTTATCACGTTGCTAACATTATTCTAGCATGATTAGCATGTATCTAGCATGTTTCTAGCATGATTATCATTTTACTAGCATTTCCTAGCATGATTAACATGTTACTATCATGATTAACAAGTTACTACACTAACACTTTTAGCATGATTAGCATGTTACTAGCATGTTGTTAGCATGATTATCATGTTACTAACATGTTGTTAGCATGATTAGCATGTTGCTAGCCTGTTTTAACATGATTAACATGTTATTAGCATGTTACTAGCATGATTAGCAAGTTATTAGCATGTTGTTAGCATTATTAGCATGTTGCTAGCATGTTTCTAGCATGATTGGCATGTTATTAGCATGTTGATATAATGTTACTAGCATGTTTCTAACGTGATTAGCAAGTTATTAGCATGTTGTTAGTATGTTACTAGCATGTTTTAGCATGCTTATGTTACTAGGATGTTGTTAACATTTTATTAGCATGTTTTAGCATGATTAACAAGTTATTAGCATGTTGCTAGCATGATTAACATGTCTAACATGTTTCTAATATGATTAGATTAACATGTTAATAGCATGTTGTAAGCATGATTAGCACGTTGCTGGCCTGTTTCTAACACTATTAGCGTGTTACTAGCATGTTGTTAGCATGTTATTAACATGATTAGCATGTTACTAGCATGTTGTTAACATGATTAGCAAGTTACTAGCATGTTGCTAGCATGATTAGCATGTTGCTAGCATTATTCTGGCATGATTAGCATATTACTAGCATGT